ACCGGGTCCTCATTTTTCCTACCTTAGAAAGGATGGAAGGCTGAGTCAACCTTGAGCCTGGTGAGAATTGAACTCGCAGTAATTGCAGGCAGCTGGAAGCTAAATACTACCTTTAACAGTAGCATTAGTCTGCTGCGCCATTCAGGCTCTTTTTAGACAACTGGATTAGATTAGATTAGATTAGATTAGATTAGATTAGATTAGATTAGATTAGATTAGATTAGATTAGATTAGATTAGACAACTGGAGGCTAAAATACATGAGGAAGGGTTGCAGGAATTGGGTATGTCTATTTTGATGAAAAGAAGGACTAGGGGTGACATGATAGCAGGGTTCCAATATCTCACGGATTGCCACAAAGAAGTCAAGCTATTCTCCAAAGCACCTGAGGGCAGGAGAAGAAGCAATGGACAGAAGCTAATCAAGGAGAGAAGCAACCTAGAACTAAGGAGAAATTTCCTGGCACTTAGAACAATTAATCAATGGAACAACTTGCCTTTAGAAGCTGTGTCTGCTCCATGATTGTCTTTAAAAACTGGAGGTTTTTAAAGAAGATTGGACAGCTTTTTTTCTGAAATGGTATAGGGTTTCCTGCCTGAGCAGGGGCTTGGATTAGAAGACCTCCAAGGTCCCTTCCAACTCTGTTATTCTATTAAGAGAATACTTCCAATTGGTCATACCTGATATAAGTGATGTGAGGGGGAAAAAATCACCAGACTGATGTTAATTCTTGGCGGGTTCCTGTTGCTATCTCTGAATCATGAATAGACAATTGAATGATACAATCTTTATCCAAAAGCCTCACAATAATCCTTCTCATAAGGTGTACATGAACTGGGAGAAACTAGTGGCATGAAGATTGGGGATTCCTCGGCGACAATCATCAGTGAGAGGTATAGTTGCATCTGGAAGAAGACTGGAAGTAGCGGATCCTATTTTCATCTCCACATCCCAAACTTTCAGCAGGAAGATCTCACGGGGCCGCTTCCAATCCAGTCTTCTTTTGACTAGCATTCTGATGGCTTTGCCTACACATAGAGTATGCTTGTATTTTCCTTCATCCTGTGACACTTTCTCCCAAAATGAGCTTAGCAGATGATTAACTCCTAGCTATGCAGAAATATCCCTCTTGACAATCAGTTAAATAAATTGGAATTTAAAAAGTATAAGTTGAGTTACTTCCTTGGAGACATTTGTTAATGGGTTCCCCAGAGAGTAAAGTTTGTAAATATATTTATTCATTCTGGTGGCATCAAACTTTAATGATATTAGGCCTGATTTTCCTAGCTTGCAGTGCATATTGTAGAAAGTTAAAGCCCTCTCCTAGAAGAATGAAATATTCTGAGGAATATTAAAAAGGCAAAATATTATATTTCCCTAAAGAAGGAATGGAGAAACATGCTCTTTGAGACAGAAAGCAACCCCAATTTTCCTTAGTAGCCCACAGCAGATGTCAGCATTTAAGAGATAAAGAGATAGCTCTATTCATAGGCAAAGCAAATACTGCAGGCAGAATTCCATTCAAGACAGGATCTTCTTAACAGAAAAATTACTTTAGCCACCACGTATAAAGAAAATATATACAAGATGTTCTATAGGTAGCACCACCCACCCAGAAGATTATCTAAAATGAGCAAAAACTTCTCACCAATGTGTTGGAAATGCAAGACAAAGCTAGGGACTTTTTGTCATATGTGGTGGGAGTGCCCGAAAGTTAGAGATTTTTGGCACCAGATAAAATGATGGCTGGAAGAGATGTTAACTCAAAATATAGAGTTAAAGCCAGAACTTTTTCTTTTGGGTATTATAAAGGACAAATATAACAAGGGAACAATCTATTTAATGTTACATATTTTAACGGCAGCAAGATTGGCCTTCACTCAAAACTGGAAAAATAAAGAGACCCCCTCAGAAGGAGAGGTATAAACAAGATAGTGACTTGTGCTGCAATGGACAGGTTGATTCTAGAACTCAAAGATAAGTGTGATACGGACTATTATGAAATCTGGAATAAACTGTATTATTGGTTGGAGAGGAGGAGGAACGTCAGGACAAAGGATTATTGATAAGTCAAAAGTTTAAAAATTTTCATGTTAGTTTTCTGTGACAAATAGGAATGGTATCGGTATTGTAATTTTCACAGATGAAAGAATCCATATGTTTGAATTGTGTTAGATTGTATATATTAACATAGTGAAAATGAACTGTATTTGTCGTAAGGTAAAACTTGATGGAAATGTTCAAACCAAAAAAGTCGCACCATGTCCAATGTTTTTAATTGTATTATAAATAAAAAACTTTTTAATAAAAAAAAGACAGGATCTTCTTCTTGTGCAATGTCCATCATTGGATGTTGGCGATCATGTTGGTGATCCTAATTTTGATCAACAGCCGCACGAAAAAGTGCTGTTGAGTTTTGTCCAAACCAGATTTTGAAGCCATGATGATGTTCTCCTCCCTGGACCTCGTTTGCCTTCAATCTTTCCTTGGAGGATTAAGTGAAATATGCCATATTTTTCAAGACAGGATATTTTGAAATTCCTTGCAGCAAAGTCTGGACAAAGGCGGAGTGATAGGATTAGCCCTCACTCAAGATCCAAATCAGGAGAAAGCCATTAAGCCATAAGAGGAATTGCCCAACACCCATTCAGAACACAAGCCTCTTCATTGCATCGTCTCAGCAGTCCAAACTTCAACCAAACCTGGGAGCTCAGACAAACTTCTAGGATTTGTACTTTGCCTATATAGCCAGCTATGACCCCTACATAACCCCTACATGGCCCCATGAGAGTCTGACAACAGCCAGTAGAATACATGTTCTTGTACAGGAACAGGAAGCTCAAGTGCAAAGCCCAAGAGAAGGTATAAACCCGCCCCACTCCCAAATCCATGTGGTCAGCTGCCAAGAATCTCACGTTCTTGGTGAATCTGCTTCATCAATAAATGGACCCACTTTCCAATCAGCCTCCAGCCTCCATTTTGTCTCCAATGCCTTTCTCCCAGCTTGGAACTGAACCACATGGATATTTCTTCCCACAATATGTTCAGCTTCATAACAGCAACGAAACACACACTCACAACCTCACAAACAAAAAGGCAGTCAATTGAATAATGCTAAGATCCATGATAATGTTAGAAGACAGATCCTTCCAGGAATAACGTCAACCATTTATTGAATTTAGGATGAAATTTATTGGGGAGAAAAAGATAGTGATTTAGAAAGTGAAATTTTGAGAATTAACAGATCGTCTGGAGCTACTCTTTGCTGAAACTTTGAGATGAAACTTTGAGAAGTGGCACCTTCTTTCACTGTTACTACTGTTTTTTATATTGTATTGAAGTTTTTAATAGATATTGTCAAAACAAACAGAAACTATACTAAAAGATTAAAAAATGTAAGAAAGAAGCTTAAAAAGTGCAAGAGAAAGAAAGAAAGAAAGGAAAGAAGGAAGGAAGGAAGGAAGGAGGGAGGGAGGGAGGAAGGAGAAAAAAGAAAAAAGGAAGAAGGAAGAAGGGAGGAAAGAAAGGAAGGAAGGAGGGAGGGAGTGAGGGAGGAAGGAGAAGAAAGAAAGAAAGAAAGAAAGAAAGAAAGAAAGAAAGAAAGAAAGAAAGAAAGAAAGAAAGAAGGGAGGGAGGGAGGAAGGAGAAGAAAGAAACAAAGAAGGAAAGAAAGAAAGAAAGAAAAAAGAAAGAAGGGAGGGAGGGAGAAAGGGAGGAAGGAGAAGAAAGAAAGAAAGAAAGAAAGAAAGAAAGAAAGAAAGAAAGAAAGAAAGAAAGAAAGGAGGGAGGGAAGAAGGAGAAGAAAGAAAGAAAAAAGAAAGAAAGAAGGAAGGAAGGACGGAAGGAAGGAAGGAAAGAAAGAAAGAAAGAAAGAAAGAAAAGAGCGACGATAGAAGAAAAAGGAAAAAGAAACAAAGACCATCATAAGGAAGTAAGTCCCCACCTTCATCACAGCAAACACAAATTAATATAACACTTCATTCTTTTTTAAAATTATAAAGGAAAAAAAATCTTCTTCGCATAAACTAACTCAAATCTGTATGCAAGCCAGAAATCTTTTCAGTTCTGGTTTAGCAAACAGCTCATTAGAAGCTACCAGAAATATCAAACCTATAATTTATCTCTCATCAAACAATCAAATGTAATACGTCTTCCTTTTGTGCTTCACGATCTTGGCCTTTAATTCATTCCAGTAAAGAATGAGACAATCATCAGAATGTTTCCTTACAGGACGACCAATTATTCCTAAAGGATGCAATTAAAATGACATTCAGACAATCCTTGTCTATATGACTATAAATCAAGCCGGGATATCCATCCAATGCTGTCAACGGAAGCGAAACAAGTCTACAAGCAGGAAGAAAAGACGTTGGTCTCCTTTTCTTCATGTTCTTGAGATTTCACTGAGAAGACCATCAAATGAAGGTTGCTGCAAAAGAGTACGCAAACCATAAATATGAATGGAGTCTACTGCCATCAACACTTTTGCCTAGGTAAATAACTAAAAAACCAGTGCATCGTTCAAGCAGTGTGTAAAATCAGTATTATATTCTGCTGGTATGTTGGATTTTAAAACCGTGATATGTAGGAATCCTTGGTGTTGAAAAATAAGGACAGTCACACAAGAAAAGAAAGGAAGCATTGGTAATATGGAATTCTTAAGAAAATAGGTTTTTTTGTGGGGTAAAACATGAGTGGGGATTATATTTTATCCAAATATATTATTGGATATTATATTATATCCAAAACACATTTTGGAGTGTTTTTTTTTTTTAAAAAAAAAAACCATATCATTTACTGAATGTGTGACTGTATGGAAAATATACCAAACTGTAAGCCAAATACAGCAGAGAAGTAGATGTCCTTCAAATTCTAAATGTGGACAATTAGAAGTTTATATTCTCACACAATCTGGACTTCTGGCAATCCGTTCTGAAGTTCTAGGGTGTCTTGAAATTATACAAATTGATGCCGCAAGAACCTTCAGGCTCACGTCGGCGATGGAACTGAACTCTCCCAACGTCACAGTGGTGACTGAGTTCATCTTAGTAGGCTTCCAACTTTCAAAGGCCTTGGAATGCTTCTTGTTTTGGGTCTTCCTGTTGGTTTTTCTGCTCACGTTGACTGGGAACTTCGCCATCATCGCCCTGGTGTGCATGGACCAACGCCTCCAAACCCCCATGTACTTCTTCTTCTGCAACTTGTCTTTTCTGGAGACTCTCTTTGTCTTGACAATCTGCCCAAAGATGCTCGTGAGTCTGATTTCTCTGAACAAAACTATTTCTTTCAGGGGATGTATTGCCCAGTGCTATTTCTACTTCTCCTTGGGTACCTCTGAGTGCGTTCTTATTGCTGTGATGGCCTTTGATCGCTATGTTGCTATCTGCTACCCACTCCGCTATGCCATCATCATGAACAAACGTCTCTGTGTCTTCTTGGCCCTGGGCTGCTGGACTGGGGGATTCCTTCTCCTTCTTATTCCAGTGCCCTTCCTTCTCCATCTGTCCTTCTGCGCCTCTAATCTCGTTGACCATTTTTTCTGTGACTACGCCCCAATTATCAAGCTTTCTTGCAGCAAGAATGTGAATTTCCTCCTGGACTTTGAGACAGCTCTCTCCTTAGCGGTGATGCTGACCTCCTTATCTATCAATGGAGTCTCATACGTCTATATTATTTCCACCGTCCTACGGATGCACTCCACCAAAGGCCAGAAGAAGACCTTTTCCACCTGTGCTTCCCACCTTACAGTAGCTAGCATTTTCTACGGCAGTTCCATCTTCATGTACTCCTTACCCACCAAAGGACATTCCCGGGGTGTCCAAAAATCCATGGCACTTCTGACTGCGGTTATTACTCCATTATTGAATCCTTTTATTTATACCCTGAGAAACCAGAAGGTCAAAGAGGTCTTAAAAGACTGTCTGAAGAACTCATTTCCACACTGAGAAGAACAGCACCAATTTCCCTCATCTGTGTCTAGGAAATTTCATCTTACATTTGCACACAGCACCATTTCTATAGAGGGACGATCGAGGGCATCCTGTCATATTACATTACAGTTTGGTTTGGAAACATTACTACTTCAGACAGGAAGGTGGTGCAGAGAGTGGTGAGGACAGCAGAAAAGATTATTGGTAGTTCACTTCCATCTATCCAGGACATGGCATATAAGCGATGCTTGAGGAGGGCCCACAGGATTGTCTGGGATGCTACACACCCTCTTCACAGTGTAGAAAAATTGATTGTGTATGTTTTGGCTATTGTCCTGCTTTATGTTAGTAGTTTTAGGGCTCCAAAATCATAAATGGGGCACATTTTGAAAGCATTACATCCAGATGCAAGAAAGTCTTCAACTTTTCATCATGCTTACAAACTATAAATGTGATGTATATGTATTCCTGTTCTTTGCAATAAAATAAATTCTCTTCCTAGAAGAGAATGAGGGGAAATTTACTCTCTGCTTGTTGATCTATAGCCACAATTGCATGGAGAGCACTGAAGTTAGATTATCCCCCGGATAGATTATTGCTGTAAGGAGGATACCTGTAATATCAGACTACAGTAGAGATATTCATATGTTAGGGTTAGGGTTATTGATATGTCCCCATATTAAAATACATGTATGCATCAAAGGGCAATACAATTAGCAACAATTTTGATATTTAAAGACAGATTCCTTTAAAATATTACCTGTACATTTCAGTTTTATAAGCAGCTGATGAACTATTCACTCTGTATTCTAGCTAATAAAAAGGATCTCTCTCTCTCTTTCTCCCTCTCCCATTTCCACTCCCTCTGCCTCCCCTCTCCCTCATCTCTATCTCTATCTATCTACATCTATATCTATGTCTATGTCTATCTATATCATCTATATCTATATCATCTATATCTACATCTATATCTATGTCTATGTCTATCTATATCATCTATATCTATATATCTATCTATATCTCCTTTCTCCTATCATCCATCCATCCATCCATCCATCCATCTAGCTATCTAGTTATCATCTGTCTATCTATTCATCCATCCATCCATCCATCTATCTATCCATCTATCCATCCATCTATCTATCTATCTATCTATCTATCTATCTATCTATCTATCTATCTATCTTCCCTCCCTACACTGCTGATACCCTATGGTGAGAAACATAGTAGTGAGAACTGCAAACTGTCAAGAACTGTCAAGTAAAAGAACCTTGATGGATATATGCAAATTATTACAAAGCAAAAGGGGCTGAAACATTTTAAAGTGCAGAAGTATGGGTTAACATTTAGAAGAAGAAAACACTTCTCCAAGTCACCAAAGTATAAGAAAGATGGGAAGAAACACACACAATGAGACTTGTAAGACGGTATAATTATAGCAAATCTCAATGAAGGAATGTTAATCTTTCCGTAGAGTTGATTTCCTGCTCTGATCTAGCAATAGCAATAGTACTTAGACTTATATTCCGCTTCATAGTGCTTTACTGCCCTCTCTAAGCAGTTTAAAAAGCCCCCAACAATCTGGATCCTCATTTTTTGACCTCGGAAGGATGGAAGGCTGAGTCAACCTTGAACCAGTCAGAATCACTATCTGCTGATAGTTGGCAGAATTAGCCTGTAATACTGCATTCTAACCACTGTGCCACAACAGAACTACCTAAAGAGTCTGACAGAGAGGGAGGAAGTTTTCCATATTCCACATTCCACAAATCTGAAGTGTCAGAAACACGATTGGGCAGATTGTAGATATCTACAAGGCTACCAAAATTGCCCAAAATGTTATAGGATCTCACTTATTAAGAGGAGAAAAGCTGGTGATTCAGAATTGGAAATACATACAAATACTATTTAAAGAAAACATGGCATAGGGCAGTGATGGCTAACCTTTTTGCTATCGCGTGCCAAAAGCGGGGATCGTGGGGGGGTGGGGTTCGCATGCGCATGTGTCCACACCCATAATTCAATGCGCCACGCCCTCCCCCACGCATGTGCACATGACACCCCCGCGCTCCCCACTCTTTTGGCATGCGATGGCACTGTGGGACTGGAAGGCCCGTTTTTCGCCCTCCCCAGGCTCCAGAGACTTTCTAGGAGTCTGGGGAGGGTGAAAACGGCCTTCCCCACTCCCTTGGAGGCCCTCCGGAGGCCGGAAACAGCTCATTTCCTGACTTCCGGTGGGCCCAGAAGGCCTGAAAATCAGGTGGCTGGGCCATGCATGTGTGCTGGAGCTGAGCTAGGGCAATGCTCATGTGCCCACAGATATGGCTCCGTGTGCCACCTTCAGCACGCGTGCCATAGGTTCGCCATCACAGGCATAGGGCAAAACAATGTTTAGAAAACCAAGAAATTCAAACATGTTAAGTAAGTATTTATTTCAGGACAAGGATCTCTTCTTTAAAGACAGATTTCTCTAAAATAGAGAACCGAAGAAGCTTCGGTTGGATGAGAAGCGAAAGGTCAAAGGGAAAGAAAGAAGAAGAAAATCCAGTTGCCTTTTGGAAAAAGTATATTTGGTACTCTAAAATACAGGCATTACAGGTTTTTTTTTTTAAAATAAGCAGTTGATATTTCATTCAATTTGGGTTGACAAAATTATCTATGTAAATATATTAAAACGCCTTCCTTCCTTCCTTCCTTCCTTCCTTCCTTCCTTCCTTCCTTCCTTCCTTCCTCCCTCCCTCCCTCCCTCCCTCCCTCCAAGATCAGATTTTGCTATTTAATTATTGAGATAGACTTAAATTCTTCTGGTGTGGAAAGTCAAAGGATGTGTAAAGGAATAAACAACTCTAAAAAATATCTGCTCCTTTTTTGCTTTTTTCTAAGGCATTTATTGATATTTTATTATTTTTAGAGTGGTAGTAGGCTGAAAGGTGTAGGAGCAGTGGTGGGATTCAGCCGGTTTGGGCCAATTCAGGTGAACTGGTAGTTAAATTGCTGGCTGGCCCCGCCCCTTCCAGGAGAGCCCACGCGCTCCATTTTGGCTCCCAGATAAGTGCAGGAAGGCCTCTTAGCCCCAAAATTGGGTGCAGGGGGCACCCCCCGTGGCCCATTTTCACTCCCAGGAGGCTTACTAGGCCTGTTTTCACTTCCCAAGAGGCTTCAAGGAGGCCTCCTAGGCCCAAAATAGGGCACGGGGTGTGTGGCACAGCCCCCCCCGGCCCATTTTTGCTCCCGGGGGGGTGTAGGAGGCCAAGTGCTGCCTGTCACACCTCCTGGCCACACCAACTATGGCAATGCCCACCCACCCAGTCATTAGGGCAGAGAACCGGTTGTTAAATTATTTGAATCCCACCACTGTGTAGGAGGCTGGTGTGTCAATGTTGTACAGGTAGGTGAAAACCCCTCCAGCTGAGATGGCAACATCTGCTGTTATCCCTGAAGATTAAAAATATCCACTACAAAGTAGGAAAATTGCTTCTTGTGTCTAACATCATTAAAGTTTCCTACCACCCGAACGAATAAATGTATTTATACATTTTACTCCCTGAGAAACTTATTAAAGCACAGATACGTCTCCAAGGAACAATCCCAAGCTAGATTTTTGGGTTGTTCGTTTAGCTGTTTATAAATATATCGTTTTGTAGCCTTGCAGTTAATCAATCAATTAATCAACTTCTAGTTCATTTGATGACAAAGTGTCAGGCTTAGAAAAAAAAAATACTTGGCTCGTATGGACAGCAATCAGAATTCCAACCAGGACAGAATTGGAATTGACCACATGAGAGCTTCTTCCTGATGAATATTTGGGATGTGGAAATGAAAATAGGATCCATCAACTTCCATCCTTCTTGAGTGGGTGTAAGCCAGATCTCTCATTGTTAAGTCCCAGAGTTCCATTTTCCAAATCACTGTGTTTTTTTTTCTTCCAAATCATGGACTCCCATGACCCTTTGACCCTCCTTTGACCCACTGTTGACTCACCGATAATCCCAGTGTTGCAGAATATACAGCCTCATGCTACATAACTAAGCTCCATTTCATGCTGAATAAACTAAATTATTTATGTATCTTAAATAGAAAACTATCCTACGATAGATTTTTACCCCAAAAGATTTTTATTAAAATAAATTCGATAAAAATCAAAAAAATCTGCTTTAAATTAAAAAAATCCGATTTAAATAAAAAAAATCTGATTTTTTTTTATTTTTAAAAAAATATCATTGATTTTTATCCACCCTGTTTGAATCCATAAGAATCAAACAGCACACCAATGTAAGAAATAAAGAATATATATATAAAAAAACAAATTTGATCCAACATCAATGGGTAGCATTTTGGCTTAAGAGATGAATCTTCCCACCCGTTCCATCCTGGATGGCAGAGAAAGTTTGGAGTTTGAGAGGTGGCATGAAGCAGATTTGTTCTGCTTCTAGAACCTCATCCAGTACGCTAGAATATTTTTGATTCTGATTCCTACAAAAAAGAAATGCTGGCATTTATATCTACTTACAAAAATTAATGCGTTCACTAAATCGGCATGGATTTCATTTTAAAACGACAGCTTTCGGATTCCATATGAAGGTGTCATCTTATCCACCCTTAGACTACCTGCAAGAAGCTTCACACAGCTGGATTCGGTTCTAATGCTTAAGTAGAGAAAGTCAAACTAACGGGGCAGAAAAAAAATGACTTCTATCCATTAACGTCAATGGGTCTGATGTAAAATTAAATCTTTAATGAATTCTGCATTCTTGATTGAATTTCCATCCGCTGTCACTCCTTGTATCAGAATCCTGGCATCCAACTTAAATATCTCATTCCACAACTCACATCTAATGTCATGGGAGACAACATTCAGGGAGAAAAGCTTTTTAACCGTTTTTCGATCACGAATAATTGCAGAGGATATAATAGATACTATAGGAGTTGTCCAGTGGTGAAATGTAAAATTTGTTACTACCGGTTCTGGCTTGGTGATGGTGGGTAATATGACTGAGTGGGCGTGGCCAACTTTTTTTTTTTTTTTTTACTTTTAGTACCATTTTTTCTACAACCTCTTCAGCTGAAGAGATTGTAAAAAAAATGCTTTTAAATCCTCTGATGATCCCAGCTGACTTGCCTGATCGGCAGAGGCTTTCTTTCTTTTTTTTTAAAAGCCTCTGATGATCTCAGCTGAGCTGCGTGATCATCAGAGGCTTTTTTTTTTAATTTTTAAAAGCATTTTTTCAGCCAAAGAGGTTGTAGAAAAAATGCTTTTTTAAAAAAAAAAGCCTCTGATGATTGCGCAGCTCAGCTGGGCAATGGGGGTGGGCAGGGATTTTTGCTACCGGTTCTTCGAACCGCCCACCTCCATCGTTACCGGATCGGGTGATCCGGTCCGAACCGGGAGCATTTCATCCCTGGAGTTGTC